CCATGGGGAACAAAAGTAGCCACCCTCCAGAAGCAACTGATGCATAGTGTCCTCTGTGGCAAACACATGTTACTGATGCATAGTGTCCCCTGTGCACATACACACATGTAACTGATACATAGTGTCCAACATGTGCAAACACACGTAACTGATGAAACATGTGTTCCCTGTGCACAAACATACACACACATACTGTGATTGATGCAAAGTGTTCCCTGTGCACATAGACACACATAACTGATGCATAGTGTCCTCCATGTCCAAACACATGTTACTGATGCATAGTGTCCTCCATGTCCAAACACATGTAACTGATGCATAGTGTCCTCCATGTCCAAAAAAAATTAATTAACGCAAAGTGTCCCCTGTGCACATACACATGTAACTGATGCATAGTGTCCTTTGTGTGCAAACACATGTAATTGATGCAAAGGGGTGCCCCCTGTGCACATACACATGTAACTGATGCTTAGGGGTCTATTCACTAGGCAGCCGAGTGAATGACCGTCCTGAAGTGAAGTGAGCCGAACACTGTTCGGCTATTCACTTCAGGCTGGTACGGCTGATTTCAGCCGTACACCGACTAAAATCAGCCGTACATCGGCTTGCTTCACATGGCTTTGGGTCAGCATGTTCAGCATGTTGACTCAGCATGTTCGGCCGACCCGAAGTGCAGAAGGAGTTCGACTCAGCTGATCCAACATCTGGATCGGCTGAGCCGAACCTCCGGCAGTCTACTCCTTGCTGTTCGGTCTATTCTCATAGATGCCGAACAGCAGTGAGTGAATAGCCGAATGCCGCTGCCGCTAGCATTGTACCCGCCCTCTGCTGATGGACCTGATGGAGAACTGCAGCAGCGGGTGGGTACAATGCTAGTTTACTATTGGCTATTGCAAATTGAAATAGCCAATAGTAATGTAGCTATGTATTTCAATGGGAATTTTTTTTTCTCTATTCTGACATCGCTCCGTGTCAGAATAAAGAAAAAAAAGACACAGCAGTGTTTCTCTCCTTGGCGGCCGGGAGCAGGAGACCCCCGGGGTGCCAGGGAGAGTTAGCTGTTTGGAGATCAGTGTCCCTGGTTAGCTGGTAACCAGGGACGCTGATCTTTCTGCAAGTGGCCGGAGCAAGCCGTAAGATCACGGCTGGCTCCGCCCAGCTGTCAGAAGCAGGCTGTCGGCCGGCCAATGGCCGACCACTCGGCCAGCTTCGGCTTTCGGCACGGCTCAGTGAACAGCCCGTTGTGAATAGCCCGTACAGCACCCCTTCGGTTCTACTGAACCGAAAGGGTCCTGGGGCCGAAGCTAGCCGAAGGATCAGCCGAAGCTACGGCTAGATCCTTCGGCAGCTTCGTGAATAGACCCCTTAGTGTCCTTTGTGTGCAAACACATGTAATTGATGCAAAGTGGTGTCACCTGTGCACATACACATGTAACTGATGCATAGTGTCCTTTGTGTGCAAACACATGTAATTGATGCAAAGTGGTGTCCCCTGTGCACATACACATGTAATTGATGCATAGTGTTCCCTGTGTGCACACACACAGAACTGAGTAACAGCCTTGTGTTCAGACATTCACCCATAACTATGCGCTAATCCATATTCACAAACACGACACTAGGCTACTGGCACAGGCACACACAGATACACAACTTAAAGGCACAAACCAGCCCGTCGAGAAGATTAACACTATTGCCTGGTGGTAACAAGGTACCGCCAACAAGCAGAGATGTGAAGAATCTGTGCTTTGTGGTTTGCTGCATTAAAATAAAAAAAAATAAACCTGTGTTTGAAATGACTGGACAGCCTAACACAGCTCAATAAGACCAGCTGCTCTTTTTGTAATACAACATACCACAATGCACAGTGGTGTGTGGTTATCAGTGTGAATGGGTCGGGAGGCTGGATTCGCAATACTGCATTGTGCTAAGGTGGTACAGCTCTCTGTGTTGCACTGCCATTCATTTTGTCCTGCAAAGCAAAGGCATTAAACCAGGAATCAGGGAATTATAAACAAATACAACTATCTTTGCAATGCCCCCTCATTCTCGATAATTTGTTTTTGTCTAGGGTACAGTAATAAGATGTAATACATACGTTATACCTCTCTTCAGTAGGCTTCAGTGCTCTCCTCTTCTCCCTGATGCTCCATGTTGCGAGTGCTCCTTTACTGTCCATGTGTACAATGCTATTAGCCCTGAAATGTACTTAATGACATCAGAGTGACCGCTGGCCAGAAGTGCCTTAGAGAAGCTGCTCTAGTGGACCAGTTGCCCAGCTGGAGGGAGTCTACTGGAGAAAGGTTTTTTTTTTTTTTCGAATTCCCGGAGTCCAGCTTTAATTTTGAATGGTGTTGCTACACACAACAATGCATAGACATGAACAATCTGTGCTTTGCGGTGTGCTAAAACCTGTTTCAATATGAACAGGCTGCCTTAGCGCAATGCAAGATTGTGATACTCCCCTAAAGGCCCATTCACACCTATGCACTGTGGTAATACACACACGTTACCGCAAGATACTTGATTGCATGTTATTTTCAATGGCACCCCAATACACATGTGCTGCAGTGCAAAGCACGGTAACACACTACAGTATGCACACCAAAAGGTTACATTTTTGTGTGTTCTGGTGCGCTGTCCGCCAATTGAAGTGAATGGGTTGCCTAAAAGCAATCAAGGTTACAGGCTCATGCACACAGGCATTAAAAAAAACGCAAAGCGTATAACATTTTTGTGGATCGGAACCTAGCAGTATATTACAGGCCCCTACCTACTGCTGTGCTCAGTAATCTTGCTCTGTGTTTAGCTGCATAAAATCAAAGTAGATATATTCTGCATCCGTGGTATCTCGGCGTAATTTATGCATGCAAACGCATGTACATGCTGGGACTAAAACCCAGCTAGAGGAATAGATGAAGAATTTTACATCTGTGACTGTTTACGCATCCAAACACGTATAATTGGAAGCGCTTTACATTTTTTTATGCAGAATCTTTCTGCCAGTGTAGATATCAGTATATTATTATGCCCGTGTGCATGCTCCCTAGTGCTCAAAGGTGTTAATGGGCCTAAAAACAGTCAGACTATGCAATGTCAGCTTTACTTTAGTTGTTTTTTTTTTGTGACACTAACTTCAGGACCTAAATCTTAAAAATATATTCAAGTACCTTAAATATTAACACAAATGTATCTTATTTGTGTATCACTCAGCTGTAGATCCTCAAATCATCTCTGAATTGGTGCCGACACTGTCCTTCCTTCTGGAGGGTGGCTACTTTTCTTCCCCATGGTCCCTGTGGGTGTTGTAAAGTAGTCACCACACCAAGATCACTCTTGAGATGGACTACAATCTCATGTTTAGTTTACTAATTTGTATTGAGATTGTAGTCCATCATGGGAGCGAGCTTGGAGCGGTGAGTACTTTACAACACACACAGGGCACGCAATGTACTGAGAGCGCCGCAGCCTGGATGGATCCTTACAATTCTGTAGAGATCCACTCAGCTGCGTGAGTGACAGCTGGCTTTGCCTATCTAGACACAGAGCCAGCTGTACCCACCCCCTCCCCCGTCTGTTCCGCCAGTCAGCGCTGGAAGATCGGAGCGGGGACGGGGGGAATCCCTCCGGGGAGCAGTGACTGACCGTCTCCGCTCTCTGCAGGGAGATGATCGGAAAGTGAGCGATCAGCGGTATGTTTTTTCACTAATTTCCCGATCTATAGAGCCAACGTGTTACAGTTTCAATCTCACACGTCGGCTCTAACTATGAGGATGTGTGAAAATCACTCACCTCATAGTTCTCCTTAAACTCCTTAGTGCCACTTTAATATAGAATCTATTTTTCTGGTTCTCTCAGCTATGTCATTTTAAGAACTGTAGCCCAAATTTTTTGAACCCTTGCACTGGGTCTACTTCCTCATTGCGATGGTTAACTGCTCGCTTTAGTCTAGGGAGGAAGATAGAAAAGTTACACTCACCCGATCCTCTGAGACGGTTTGCTCTTAGACTGTTCCTTCCATCCATCTGAGGATCGGGTGAATATAACTTTGTTATTTTCCTCCCTAGACCAAAACAAGCACTTAACCCTTGCAGTGCAGAGGTAGTCCCTCCCCAAGGGTTAATAAAAACTTTGCCCGGTCTTTTTAAAAAACCCAATTGCCAAATATAAGAACAAAAATACAAACTTCCCCAACTCCTTCCTATACCTTGGGGGTATAGGGATGTTTCCTTCATAGCCAAAAATACACGTTCTTCCTTTTCAGTCTGACAGTCTGCTCCAACCTGTTTCCCTGCTGATGTCACACTGTAAAGTTAAAGTAAAGGCTAATATTGAAGTATAAAGCCCCCTGGAACGTTTAGCCCTAATGTGCTAGTATGTACATGTATTAGCACCTTATGGCAGACTGTACTGCCAATGTCATCCCCTCCGGCACTGCTTTCCTTCCTCGCCAGCACTTCCATCTTCTCCCTGGTCTTTTTCCAGGTTTTTAGTGTACGGATGTTTGATTGGCCGGGCCATGATGACATAACTCCCATGCATGCAAGTTAATTCATCTTGGCATGCCGTGCTTGTGCGAGGAATTGCACATGCGTGGCTCAGCATACAGAAAAACAAATTGCTAACCGCTAGAAAGAAGCTAGTATGACAGAAGAGACTTGCTCTGTCCCTTCTTTCATAGACAGCCTAACAGTTAACATTTTTTGTTTACATTTTTGCATATATATTGAAAAAGTCATGTTTGTAAACGAGTCCAGTTTACGCCATGACGCATGCTGCTTTTTTACATACTGCAACCCACGTAAGTGTTCATGAATGCACCACAATGCATGTAATCGTGACTACTGTCAATATTGGCTCTTCTGCTGATCCAACTTCCCCATGCACATGAATGAAAACGCATGCGAATAGCAATGCGCATGCTTAAATGCACCAAAATTGCATGCATGCGTTGTGTAAAGCAGCCCTTAGCCCTGGAACATACACACCGGCATACGTACCATTGCATTAGAAGCGTTGATCAGGCACACCACTGCGAGGAAATACCACCGTGTCCTGTATAGCTTATAGTGAATGAGCTTTCTCAACATCTTGCACCTTTCAGACTCTGGCTCCTCGTCTCCATTCTGTGTTCCCCCGGCATTCTCATACTGTCCTGGCACTTCACTGATTTCAGCCATGTCTAGTGAGAACTTTACAATGATGAAAGTTTTCTTCCCAGACACCTACTAGTAGTGTTCAGTGTGGGGACAATGAATAGTGTCAGTCATATTAGCAGACACAGAGCCCAGCTTGTATGTCTTCTGAGAGGGGGGGGGGGG